ACCCTACCTTAGATTACCTGCCAGTCCCACGTTTCCTTAGACAGACTGCCAGTCCCACCAGGTCCTTCACTTTCTTAGACTGACTGCCAGTCCCATCAGAACCCAACCTTCCTTAGATTACCTACCAGTCTCACCAGGTCCTTCACTTTACAAGATTGCCTGCCAGTCTCACCAGGTCCCTCACTTTACTAGATTGACTGCCAGTCCCACCAGGTTCCACCCTTCCTTAGATTACCTGCCAGTCCCATGTTTCCTTAGACAGACTGCCAGTCCCACCAGGTCCTTCACTTCCTTAGACTGACTGCCAGTCCCATCAGAACCCAACCTTCCTTAGATTACCTACCAGTCTCACCAGATACCTCACTTTACTAGATTTCCTGCCAGTCTCACCAGGTTCCACCCTGCCTTAGATTACCTGCCAGTCCCACCAGGTCCCACGTTTCCTTAGACAGACCGCCGGTCCCACCAGGTCCCAACCTTCTATCTTAGAATATTTAAAGGATGGCTCAGGCTCTTTTCATCAGCCGGGGCCGCCAGGAGCTCCTCAAACCATTTCACACCACTTTCCACTCTTTGTTTTTGGAATCCCGTTGACTTCCTTCCAAATGTTTCAGGTTTGCAAATGAAAAAAAAAAGTGTCACAATGGATCAAACTTTCCAGAACTCTTCTTTATAAACCCGGAGAACGCTCCTGACAGAGGAAAATGACTCTCGCGCTGGTCTTTCCATGTCATTCGCTCACAGCAGCCCAGATTGGCGGCTTGGCTATCAGACAGCAAATTCTATCACAGAGGGGGGTGCAGGCAGCAAGAATGGGAGGGCGAGCAGCACCGGCCCGAACTGTTAGTGCCTGAATGGGAGTTGCGGGCGAGCTGACATCTGTGATGTATTAGGCGCACGCTGCCAACGCCGGGATGGTTTCAGCTAAACCCCTCTCTGTTTATACAAGTCCACGTCTGTCCGCTTCCATCCAGAAGTCAGGGGAAGTCACGTCATGGCGCTGGACGATGACAGGTCACAGATTAATATCGCACTTTACGTCTATCCCTTAACCCCTTCGCAGAGGACATAAAAATTCCAACGTTACAACTCATTTCCAACACTTAAAAGGCACAAAACGTAGAGACGCCGAGTCCTATTCCACGAATACGCATCATCAAGCTCTTAGGCTGCTGTTAGAAACCACAGGACCCCATACAGCCAACCTGAAGGCCTCCCCTCCCAAAAAAACCCCACTGTTTACTATGCTTCAGTTATGAATGAACACAGTCAGTGTTTGGTACCGATCGCTCATTGTGTTCATTCATGAAAGGAAGGGGCTGATAACTGTGACAAATTTACCGGACCCCCTCCCCCACTCTCCATGAAAGATCCTCTTGTGTGCTTGGGAAGGAGAGGAGGGAAGCTGGTAGCACTGCAGGGGGTAGGGGGGCATATAGGGGGTAGGAAGCACACAGGTGGGGCAAACACCTAGCGCATGATCCAAGGTTAGTTAGAAAAGAAAAAGACAAAAAACGTACTCACAAAATGAAGTACATGTAAAAGCCTAAATGCCACAATGGTGGCCCACAATGATGGCCATAATGGTGGTCAACAATGATGGCTCACAATGATGGCTCACAATGATGGCCCACAATGATGGCCCACAATGATGGCCCACAATGATGGCTCACAATTATGGCCCACAATGGTGGCCCACAATGAATGCTCAAAATGATGGCCCACAATGATGGCCCACAATGATGGCCCACAATGATGGCCCACAATGATGGATCACAATGATGAACCACAATGATGGTTCACAATGGTGGACCACAATGATGGCCCACAATGATGGCTCACAATGATTGCCCATAATGATGGACCACAATGGAATGGTGATGGCTCACAATGATGGCTCACAATGATGGCCCACAATGATGGCTCACAATGATGGACCACAATGATGGATCACAATGATGGCCCACAATGATGGCCCACAATGGTGGACCATAATGATGGCCCACAATGGTGGACCACAATGATGGCCCACAATGGTGGACCACAATGATGGCCCACAATGATGGCTCACAATGATGGCCCACAATGGTGGACCACAATGATGATCTGCAATGATGGCCCGCAATGGTGGACCACAATGATGGCTCACAATGTGTGACGACAATGATGGTCCACAATAATGGCTCACAATGATGGCTCACAATGATGGCCCACAATGATGGCCCACAATGATGGCACACAATGGTGGACCACAATGGTGGACCACAATGATGGCTCACAATGATGGCCCACAATGATGGCTCACAATGATTGCCCATAATGATGGACCACAATGGAATGGTGATGGCTCACAATGATGGCTCACAATGATGGCCCACAATGATGGCCCACGATGATGGCCCACAATGATGGCCCACAATGATGGACCACAATGATAGCAGAGTGTCCGACTGGTAGTGCGACTGCCAGTCCCACCAGGTTCCACGCTTGCTTAGATTACCAGCCAGCCCCACTAGGTTCCTCCCTTCAGTAGATTACCTGCCAGTCTCACCAGGTCCCTCACTGTACTAGATGATTGACGGCCAGCCCCACCAGGCTCCATCCTTCCTTAGATTACCTGCCAGTCTCCATAGGTCCTTCACTTCCTTAGACTGACTGCCAGTCCCATCAGAACCCAACCTTCCTTAGATTACCAGCCAGCCCCACTAGGTTCCTCCCTTCAGTAGATTACCTGCCAGTCTCACCAGGTCCCTCACTGTACTAGATGATTGACGGCCAGCCCCACCAGGCTCCATCCTTCCTTAGATTACCTGCCAGTCTCCATAGGTCCTTCACTTCCTTAGACTGACTGCCAGTCCCATCAGAACCCAACCTTCCTTAGATTACCTGCCAGTCTCACCAGGTACCTCGCTTTACTAGATTGATGGCCAGTCCCACCAGGTTCCACCCTTCCTTCAATTACCTGCCAGTCCCACCAGGTCATTGGATAATGCGCTAGGTGTTTGCACCACCTGTGTGCTTCCTTCAGTTTTTGATGATTTCCCAGTCGGAGGAGGGCTGCACCACCAAGAAGGTATCCATAGGCTATCTACTCATTGGACTCCCTGGCCTTTTCCTGGCACTCACCCCTTTTTGAAGTGCTGGAGAAACAGTGCTTTTTATCCAGTTTGGGCACATAGGAGGACCTGGGCAGCAGGGGGAAATGTATAGAGCACAGAGAGGGTGATGGGTGTGCGTTGTTCAATGACTGGAACCGGTCCACTGTAAGGCTCTCTCTGCAGCAGCTGCAAACCAGCGGGAGGGAGAGGAAGAGAATCCAACTTTCATCTGCAGCAGAGAAAGCCATACAAGGGATCGGTTCCAGTCATTGAGCCCTCCATCCCCACCATGCTGATCAACCTCCCTGCCCACATCCGATTCACCAGCTGCTTGTTGGCCTGGGGCCCCGTACAGGAGGACTGGTGTACCCCCTGATCCACGACCTTGGCCTTGGCCTATATTCCTCCCTACTAGGGCTTTCTAAAAGAAATGCGACCATATAACACATTTACATGGTAAGAGGAAGATTTGACGTGGTCATCCTCTCTACTTGTCCTGTCGATCGTCATCACCGAAAGTGAAAGAAAATCAAAAATTTTGGGTTGTCCCCATAACAGGAATCTTCCAATGGGGACTAGATTCCCTCACTTTGGAAGGATTTCCTCTCACTTTCACTTTTGGCTATGGGGCAGGAAAGGAAGGGAAATCTCCCCAATGAGAACCAGACGAGAAAAAAAAAATCACCTATCCAGAGATCCAGGGCCATTCTCACCTGTGCCGGGCCTTCCCTCGTCTTTGGGTCTCCCCATGCCAACTATGGGAAGCGGTGCTAGTCCTGGAACCCAACACGTTCCAACATGCTGGAGGAAAAAGGGAGCCCAAGCTTCTGGCCAGCTTGCCTAGGAGATCCAGGAGGAAGGGGGAGCTGGCCAAAACCAAGTACCTGCTCCCCCACTAACAAAAACGTTTCCAAAAGTTGAAGGGGGGGGTGGAGCAGAAAGAGGAACTTCCCTTTTAATAGGTGAAGTTCTGCTTTAAAGCGTTTGTAAACCGGCAAAAAAAAAAGAAAAATCTGGGCCTCCTGCAGGTTTCTGCTGCTGGGGCTTCCATCTCCATCCGGTCTTCCTTGGGGGTTTGCATACTCCGGGCATTTGAATGGCCGGGCCGCGATGACGTCACGATCGCGCCATGACGCTCTCCATTCCACAGCACGCTATTGTCAATGTGGTTATCTTCTGAACAGTGCATGTATAGGAGATAATCATTGTATACCCCCCCAGCTTAGATCCTCTCTCTCCTCATATGCCCCCCCCAAAAAAAATGTTCCCCCTCCTAGCACAAATCCTCTATCCCTCAAAGAACAACACTCCAAATCCCTCCTTCCAGCACAAATTCCCCTCCACAATCCCCTATCCTAACCCAAATCCCCCCCACAAATTTCCCTGAGTCCTAGCACAAATACCCCCCCCCCAATCATCCCTACTACCACAAATCCCCCCTCCCAAAAAAAAACATGCCTAGCGCAAAAATTCTCCCCCACCATATTCTTTTTATAGCACAAACCCTCAAATCCCTCCTCATAGCACAAATTCTCTTCTCTCCCCATCTCCCTCCCAACACAAATCCCCCAAAATCACCTCTTCTAGCTCACCTCTCCAAATTTCTCCTCCTAGAACAATTCTTATCTGCTGACGCCCAACAAATGTCCTTTCTCAACACAAATCCCCTCCCCAATCTCCTTGCGGTGCCCCCTCCCTCACCTCACATGATACCACAGTTCTCAAGGCAGTCCCCCCCCCCCCCCCTTGTCTCTGTCCTGGTTACATTTTTCATTTCAAGTATGGGACTCTGATATCAGGATATAATGTACACTATATTGCCCAAAGTATTGGCCCCGCCCTCCCAATCATGTGATTCAGGTGTTCCAATCCCCTCCCAATCATGTGATTCAGGTGTTCCAATCCCCTCCCAATCATGTGATTCAGGTGTTCCAATCCCCTCCCAATCATGTGATTCGGGTGTTCCAATCCCCTCCCAATCATGTGATTCGGGTGTTCCAATCCCCATCATATCATGTGATTCAGGTGTTCCAATCCCCTCCATATCATGTGATTCAGGTGTTTCCAATACCCTCCCCAATCATGTGATTCAGGTGTTCCAATCCCCTCCCAATCATGTGATTCAGGTGTTCCAATCCCCTCCCAATCATGTGATTCGGGTGTTCCAATCCCCTCCCAATCATGTGATTCGGGTGTTCCAATCCCCATCATATCATGTGATTCAGGTGTTCCAATCCCCTCCATATCATGTGATTCAGGTGTTCCAATACCCTCCCAATCATGTGATTCAGGTGTTCCAATCCCCTCCATATCATGTGATTCAGGTGTTCCAATCCCCTCCCAATCATGTGATTCGGGTGTTCCAATCCCCTCCCAATCATGTGATTCGGGTGTTCCAATCCCCATCATATCATGTGATTCAGGTGTTCCAATCCCCTCCATATCATGTGATTCAGGTGTTCCAATACCCTCCCAATCATGTGATTCAGGTGTTCCAATCCCCTCCATATCATGTGATTCAGGTGTTCCAATACCCTCCCAATCATGTGATTCGGGTGTTCCAATCCCCTCCCAATCATGTGATTCGGGTGTTCCAATCCCCTCCATATCATGTAATTCATGTGTTCCAATCCCCTCCCAATCATGTGATTCAGGTGTTCCAATCCCCTCCATATCATGTGATTCAGGTGTTCCAATCCCCTCCCAATCATGTGATTCGGGTGTTCCAATCCCCTCCATATCATGTGATTCGGGTGTTCCAATCCCCTCCATATCATGTGATTCGGGTGTTCCAATCCCCTCCCAATCATGTGATTCAGGTGTTCCAATCCCCTCCATATCATGTGATTCAGGTATTCCAATCCCCTCCATGGACACAGGTGTATACAATCCATCCCCTAGGCATGCAGACGGCTTCTACAAACATTGGTGAAAGAATGGGTCGCTCTCAGGAGCTCAGTGACTCCAAGCGTGGTCCCGTGATAGGTGGCCACCTGAGCAATAAGTCCATCCGTGACATTTCCTGGCTACTAAATATTCCACGCTCAACTGTTAGTGGGATTATAACAAAGTGGAAGCCACTGAGAACAACAGCCACTCAGCCACCAAGTGGTAGGCCACGTCACATGACAGGGCGGGGTCAGCGCATGCTGAAGCACAGTGCGCAGAAGTCGCCAACTGTCTGCAGAGTCAATAGCTAAAGACCTCCAAACTTGGTGTGGCCTTCAGATGAGCCCAACAACAGTGCGTAGAGAGCTTCATGGAATGGGTTTCCATGGCTGAGCAGCTGCATCCAAACCTTCCATCACCAAGTGCAATGCAAAGCGTTGGATGCCGTGGTGTAAAGCACGCCGCCACTGGACTATAGAGCAGGGGAGATGTTCTCTGGAGTGACCCATCACATTTCTATGTCTGGTCATTTGATGGACTTGTCTGGGTTTGGCTGTGGCCAGGAGAACGGTACTTGCCTGACTGCATTGTGCCAAGTGTAAAGTTTGGTGGAGGGGGGATTATGGTGTGGGGTTGTTTTTCAGGGGTTGGGCTTGGCCCACTAATTCCAGTGAAGGGAACTCTTAAGGTGACATTTTGGACAATTTCATGCTCCCAATTTGTGGGAGGAGTTTGGGGATGGCCCCTTCCTGTTCCAACATGACTGCCCACCAGTGCACAAAGCAAGGTCCATAAAGACATGGAGGAGCCAGTTTGGGGTGGAGGAACTTGACTGTCCTGACCTCAACCCCATAGAACACCTTTGGGATGAATTAGAGCGGAGACTGCGAGCCAGGCCTCCTCCCCCGACATCAGTGCCTGACCTGACAAATGTGCTTCTGGAAGAATGGTCCAACCTTCCCATAGACACCCCCCTAAACCTTGTGGACGGCCTTCCCAGAAGAGTTGAAGCTGTTATAGCTGCAAAGGGCGGGGCCAACTCAATATTGAACCCTACGGGCTAAGACTTGGGGGCCATGAAAGGTCATGTGGATGGAAAGGGCAGCCAACTCAATATTGAACCCTACGGACTAAGACTGGGGGGCCATGAAAGGTCATGTGCGAGGAAAGGGCGGGGCCAACTCAATATTGAACCCTACGGACTAAGACTGGGAGGCCATGAAAGGTCATGTGCGTGGGAAGGGTGGGGCCAACTCAATATTGAACCCTACGGACTAAGACTTGGGGGCCATGAAAGGTCATGTGGATGGAAAGGGCAGCCAACTCAATATTGAACCCTACTCTAATATTGAACCAACTCAATATTGAACCCTACGGACTAAGACTGGGGGGCCATGAAAGGTCATGTGCGAGGGAAGGGCGGGGCCAACTCAATATTGAACCCTACGGACTAAGACTGGGGGGCCATGAAAGGTCATGTGCGTGGGAAGGCCGGCCAACTCAATATTGAACCCTACGGACTAAGCCTGGGAGGCCATGAAAGGTCATGTGCGTGGGAAGGCCAACCAACTCAATATTGAACCCTACGGACTAAGACTGGGAGGCCATGAAAGGTCATGTACGTGGGAAGGCCGGCGGCCCAACACTTTTGGCAATATAATGTAGAAGAGTGGAAAAAAAAAAGACCTAGTGGTCCATCAAGTCTTATTGCCAACCAAGTTAACTGTGGTAATCCTTTTTGATAGCCCAATGTCTAGACCCTCCCCCAACTGGGTCCTCCTTGACAAAGAGGTCTAAGCACCCGTATCTGTATATAATGAGTTTATATCCTGGTGCTCGTTGGAAATGGATGCCATTTGTAACCCCAGCATGCACGGTTCTCGTTTCGCCAAGTCGTTCTCATTCCTCCTCCAATCGGCAGACCCCCCCCACCTCCGGACGCGGATCCGGGCCGTTCTCTGCCACTTCAACATAACAAGTGGTCCTGCTGCTGGAACCGTGGGAAAAAATCTGTTCACCTCCCTTGGCTACCAGTAGCCTTGTAAAGTGCGCTAATAAGGCGTCTTTGTCCTTGGCCGGTTCTAATGAGTACAGAGCTGGGAACAGTAGCCGTGTTTTGTACGAGGTAATTATTGTTATCATCATCAGTCGAGCTCACACAGATTATTACCACCTCCTCCACTCAATGCCCTGGAAAAAGCCGGCGTGTCAGGTGACCAGCGGGGGGGGGGGGGGGGGGGGTGCAGATCCGTGTCCGTTTGTTTTGGGGATTGAAGCGGGAGCATAATTTATCCTATCAAGGGCGTAATTATCTTTCAATGGGAAGATCGGCTTTTAAGGGTCGCTTTCAACCTTTGTTTTAGGATGCGGAATTACGGAGGCTCGTTAATTCCTGATTAGCCGGCGTATTGTTGGTTGTGCTGGACCCGCTCCCGCCGCAAGCGCTAACAACCTGCTCTTAGGATGCCGGGAACCTCGACGGCTCAACTTAATATGCAGGTTAATGAGCCTGGAGGGAAGAGAACGCTGGGAGCCCTTAAAGCGATAGCATGGCAAAGAGGTCAAAGTAGATGGAAACTCTAACCTCTTTGAAGCCTCCAGGCCCTCCAGTGATGGCTTCATGACCTTTCTCAGACTGGGTTTCCTGATGGTGACCGTATCGGAGTTATGGAGTCTCCATTGACCCTATAACAGGAGTTTCCTGACCTTTCTGACTGTCCTTCATAGCAGGATCGCCAGGTAATATTTTCAGGGCCCATGTTGTAATCCTGAGAAGACCACAACTGTGGGCAGTACCACCACCAAGCACGACCCATTGAAGTGAATAGGGCTGTGCTGCCACCACGTCAAATATGGCGGTGAAGGCTTTTCAGGAATAAAACAGTGGTGACAAGTTGCCTTTGTTCACCATTTTTCATCTTTTGTTGCCCTTCATCTCCTGCAACCTCTTTGAAGGCTCCAGGCACTCCAGTGATGGCTTCATGACCTTTCTCAGACTGGGTTTCCTGATGGTGACCGTATCGGAGTTATGGAGTCTCCATTGACCCTATAACAGGAGGTTCCTGACCTTTCTGACTGTCCTTCATAGCAGGATCGCCAGGTAATATTTTCAGGGCCCATGTTGTAATCCTGAGAAGACCACAACTGTGGGCAGTACCACCACCAAGCACGACCCATTGAAGTGAATAGGGCTGTGCTGCCACCACGTCAAATATGGCGGTGAAGGCTTTTCAGGAATAAAACAGTGGTGACAAGTTGCCTTTGTTCACCATTTTTCATCTTTTGTTGCCCTTCATCTCCTGCAACCTCTTTGAAGGCTCCAGGCACTCCAGTGATGGCTTCATGGCCTATCTCAGGGCGACCGTATCGGAGTTATGGAGTCTCCAACCCTAGAAGAGGAGGTTCCTGACCTTTGTGACCGTCCTTCGTAGCAGGATCACCAGGTAATATTTTCAGGGCCCATGTTGTAATCCTGAGAAGACCACAACTGTGGGCAGTACCACCACCACCGAACACGACCCATTGAAGTGAATAGGGCTGTGCTGCCACCACATGCAATATGGCGGTCGGGCTTTTCAGGAATAAAACTGTGGTGACAAGTTGCCTTTGTTCACTATTTTTCATCTTTTGTTTCCCTTCATCTCCTGCAACCTCTTTGAAGCCTCCAGGCACTCCAGTGATGGCTTCATGGCCTTTCTCAGGGCGGGGTTTCCTGATGGTGACCGTATCGGAGTTATGGAGTCTCCAACCCTATAACAGGAGGTTCCTGACCTTTGTGACCGTCCTTCGTAGCAGGATCACCAGGTAATATTTTCAGGGCCCATGTTGTAATCCTGAAAAGAGCACCACTGTGGGCAGTACCATCACCAAGCACGACCCATTGAAGTGAATAGGGCTGTGCCGCCACCACGTGCAATATGGTGGTGCGGGCTTTTCAGGAATAAAACATGGTAAAGTGATGACAAGTTGCCTGTCAACTGCCCTCTAATCCAGTGTAGACTGCTTTTCAAAGGGCTGCCGCCAGTGTAAATAAGCCCTCGGTGCTTCGGGGGGCTCTGTTCAGAATGAATAGCACCACAACGCATGTAAAAGCAAAGTAAAAACCCATTCCAAATAGAGGATCCACAACTCCGTGTCATACTAATTAAAATCTTGCTTTACTCGACATTCCACCAGAATACGCAACCTTGATACGGAGCGAGACTCTTCTTATAACTTCATTAGTGGCCACGTGTCTTCTTGAGCCACCCTCGCCTATGATGGGATCATTTAGATATTTGTATACGGCTATCATATCTCCTCTTCTCCAAGGAGAATAAGTTTAACCTCTGTAGTTGTTCCTCATAACTGAGATCCTCCGGCCCCTCATGTTCCTCCATCTTTGCCCCATAGCTGAGGTCCTCCGGCCCCTCATGTTCCTCCATCTTTCCCCCATAGCTGAGGTCCTCCGGCCCCTCATGTTCCTCCATCTTTCCCCCATAGCTGAGGTCCTCCGGCCCCTCATGTTCCTCCATCTTTCCCCCATAGCTGAGGTCCTCCGGCCCCTCATGTTCCTCCATCTTTCCCCCATAGCTGATATCCTCCAGCACCTCATGTTCCTCCATCTTTCCCCCATAGCTGATATCCTCCAGCCCCTCATGTTCCTGCATCTTTCCCCCATAGCTGAGGTCCTTTAGCCCCTCATATTCCTCCACCTTCTTCCCATAACTGAGATCCTCCAGCCCCTCTCATGTTCCTCCATCTTTCCCCCATAGCTGAGGTCCTTTAGCCCCTCATGTTCCTCCACCTTCTTCCCATAACTGAGATCCTCCAGCCCCTCATGTTCCTCCATCTTTCCCCCATAGCTGAGGTCCTCCGGCCCCTCATGTTCCTCCATCTTTCCCCCATAGCTGATATCCTCCAGCCCCTCATGTTCCTCCATCTTTCCTCCATAGCTGAGATCCTCCAGCCCCTCATGTTCCTCCATCTTTCCCCCATAGCTGAGGTCCTCCGGCCCCTCATGT